GGGAATCTGAGCCTGCTGGAAGCAGGGAGAAGGGAGCCAGCTCCAAATGGGAACCCAAGCCTGCTGGAAGCAGGGAGAGAGAAGCCAGTTCCAAATGGGAACCCAAGCCTGCTGGAAGCAGGGAGAAGGGAGCCAGCTCCAAACGGGAACCCAAGCCTGCTGGAAGCAGGGAGAGAGAAGCCAGCTCCAAACGGGAATCTGAGCCTGCTGGAAGCAGGGAGGCCCGGCGCTTCCTGTCGGAGGAGGAGGAGAGTGACCCTGCAACCAGGGGCACAAAAACCAAATCCCAGCCTCCTGCCAGGGTGCCTTCCTCAAACACCAAAGTCCCAAACAGACACAGCACCAGAATCCTGGGAATGGCAAAGCAGAAGCGAGGAGCAGACGCTGCAGAGCTGCCCGTGTACGAGCAGGCTTCCAAGTACTCCCTGAGGTCAGCCAGGAAGCCTTTCCCAGACAAGCACTTCACCGAGGAATCCTCAGGCAAGGATGGGGGAGAGGGATCCAGTGATGATGATACCCCACTGCTGATCAGAAGGAAAGATAAATCTGTGTTAAAACCGGAGCCTCCAAACTGCAGCTCTCGCTCTGACTCTGACAGATCCCAGGGTGGTGCAAACAGGGTGTGGGGTGAGCCAAGGGCAGGAAAAGCCTCCCGGAATGTGCCAGTGAGGCTGAGTGGGACCAGTGACGAGTCTGAGCTCACCAGCGAAGGAAACACTCCTGGCAGTGGGCCCAGAGACTCCCTCCTGCCTGGGGAGGCCGTGAGGACACGGAGCAGAACCAACCCCCCCAGGCACTGGCTGGATTTCGACAGCGAGCCCGAAACCAGCAAGGAGGAACTTCCCACAAAAGACAGGAATGCAAAAGTACCTGGTAAAAAACCAGGGGCTGGAGTTCCCAGCACTGCCAAGTCTGCAGCAGCCAGATCGAGAGAGCCTGAGAGGGCAAAGCAGCAGAAACCTCTGGAGCTTTTTCCCAGGGCAGCTGATGGTTGGTCTGAGAAGGAATTACAGAAGCTTTACAGGTAAGGGGTCGCTCTGTGTTCAGAGGGAACAGTTCCCATCGGGCACCAGTGGGGTTAGGGTGGTCTGCTTTGGGGTTTTCCAGATTCCCTCTCTTGCACGTGATTTCCAAGGGTTCCTTTATGTTTTAGTTCCTTCTTCTCCCCAAGTTCACCGTCAGTGAAACAAAGGAGAAGCTGGGTATTCTCTACAGTAGCTGGAGGTGTGTGAGCCTGCAGCAGCCCCTGTCACAGTGTGAAGGGAGAGGAGCACTGCTCAGGCAGGATTTTGTGGAATCTACTCCTCTGCTCATTTTCAAAACCACATATTTGATCTTGTTAAAAGTGAAAACTCATTCCTGTGAGTAACACTGAAACCCGTGAGTAGGTGAATGACATGATGGCAGTATTTGTGTGTACGATGTGGACCATGGGTCAGAGGGGGCAGGTTCTGTCCCCAGACTGGAGTGACATGTTTAACGTGCCGTGTTTACGTCAGCAGGTTCGGTAAAGGGGAGAGGAACTGCAGGAATGTGCATGTTCCAAGTGTCTGGAGGAGACACCAGAGGAAAAAATTCTTTCCAGAGAGGATAATCAGCCCTTGGAATGGGCTGCCCAGGGAAGGGGTGGATTCTCCATCCCTGGAGGTGTTTAAGGACAGACTGGATGTGGCATCAGTGCTATGGGCTGGGAACCACGGCGGGGTTGGATCAAGGGTTGGACTGGATGATCTCAGAGGTCCCTTCCAACCCAGCTGATTCTGTGATTCTGTGATCCCAGACTGGTTTGGGATGGAAGGACCTGAAAGCCCATCCCATCCCACCCCCTGCTATGGGCAGGGACACCTTCCACCAGCCCAGGTTGCTCCAAGCCCCGTCCAACCTGGCCTTGGACACTTCCAGGGATCCAGGGGCAGCCACAGCTTCTCTGGGCAACACCGGAGAAGAGGCAGAGCCCAAATTCCCTCAATCCCTGGGCAGGGCCCTTCCCGGGCGGGCTGTGGGGCTGTGCTGGCAGTGCCCTCCTGAGGCCCCGCTGTGTCTCTGCAGGGCCATCGCGGCGCTGCCCAAGCACCGCAGCGGCTTCTGGCAGGAGGTGGCCATGGCCGTGGGGACACGCTCTGCCGAGGAGTGTCACGGCAAGTACCTGCAGGAGCAAGAGGCCAAGGGCTCCCAACCACAGGCCGGGAAGGCCAAGGCAGGAAAACCCGAGCAGAAAGGTACTGGCATCTTGATTCTGGGGGTTTGGGAGCTGCTAAATGGTTTTGAGACACGGAGGGTCTGGAGCGTGTGCAGGGAAGGGAACGGAGCTGGGAAGGGCCTGGAGCAGCAGGAGGGGCTGAGGGAGCTGGGGGGGCTCAGCCTGGAGCAAAGGAGGCTCAGGACGGACCTTCTGGCTCTGCAACCCCCTGACAGGAGGGGGGAGCTGGGGGGGGTCGGGCTCTGCTCCCAGGGAACAAGGGACAGGAGGAGAGGGAACGGCCTCAGGCTGTCTCTGGACAGTGACTGTTGTCCTGCAGCTAAGAAGGAGCTGGTGATAAGTGCCAGGGTGGGAACCCTCAAACGGAAGCAGCAGATGAGGGAGTTCCTGGAGCACCTGCCCAAGGACAACCACGACGACGTGTTCACCACGACACCCTTCCAGAACAGGAGAGTCAAGGTACAGCCGGGCAAACAGCTCCAGGGGGTGTCTGTGGGGGTGTCTGTGGGGGTGCCTGTGTTTGTGCTTTCCCAGTGGGTGTGGGACCAGGCTGGTCTAGTTCCAGCAACAATGCCCCGTGGAGCTGGGGGGAGGAGGCTCCTTCCCTTGCTGTGCTGCTGCCATCCTTTGCTGTGGTGAAGCACCTGGCACACATCCAGCCATGGCTCCTGGGAAGTCAGAGCTCCCAGTCAAATCCACCACGTGCTGTGACCAGCAGCATGGCACAGAGAAATCCCCAGGACTAGGGATTCCTGGGACTGGGATGAGCAATTGGCTGTGAGGGCACTGATGCTTCCATGTCCAAAACACCCTGGTTTTGCAGAGGGATTCTCCAGACATGACTCTTTTAACAGAATATAATTTCAGCCAGTGGTTCCAAAGGGTTCCTCAAATCCATTCTGCTTGTGCTGGGCAAAAGAGCCTCACTCCTCCTGTAGTGTCCAGTGGCACCTCCAGAGAGAAATCCTGTGTGTGGGAGTCAGGAGTGGATTCCCCTTCCCTGAACCAGCACAGCCCCTCCTTGAGCCCAGGCAGGCTCTTCCCATCTGGAATTTCCTGTGCTAAGTTCTAGAGCCAAATCCTTTGCTATGTGAACAATCTCCTCTTGTCTGTTCTGAACTTCCATCTGCTGACTTTGTCCTCTCCTCATGGACCCTGTCCTGGATCCTGTCCTGTCCCTGTTCCCAGTTTCAGGTGTGCTTTGGATTTCTGTGCTGCTCCTCCCTGAGCCTTTCCAGTGCCTCTCTCTCTTCCAAACGCAAGGACCACAAGTTCCCTGAGTAACCCTCCTTCTGAGCAGCCATGGTAGCTCTGAGCTCGGAATTCTAATCAGAGCTCACTCTGAGTGTGTGGTGGCATCCAAACTGTCGCCCAGGGGCCGGGCAGCAGCGGGAGCAACGTGTGGAGTGAGGCAGGGCCCGGGATTGGCCGCTGGGCCGTGGCCCTGTCCCTGCCCAGGGACAGGGTGGAGTCACAGCCACCGCAGTGAGGAAGGGCTGGAGTGACTGTGGAGGAGAGGGGAGAGCCTGGGCTGTCTCTGGGGACAGGGACACCCCTGGCTCAGGTCCCTGATGGCTCTGGGGTGGCTTTGCAGCTGCCGCCGCTCCGGAACGACGACCCCGAGGACTTTTCCCTGGGGGAGCTCTCGCTCAGCCCCAGCTCAGCCGTGTTCCCGCTGGCCAAAACCCCCCAGTGCGAGCACATCAGCCCGGGAATGCTGGCCCCTGTCAACAGGTAGGAGCT